ACAATCCTAATTTTCTCAAACAACAACAACTCGATCAATCGACTGGGGAGGGAGCTGATTCGTGAAGTCTTGCACGTAACACGACTTAGACAGAAATGCAGAGCTATGCTCATTCTTTCTTGTCCCCCGATTATCTCCATTAGTTCGCTCCGTAAAACCAGGAACAATATATGGTGCGCATATAAAATTGAACAGAGCCAGACGAATAAATATGCACAATATGTGCACACAATAAGTGTGCACGTGACATAGTCGCTGGATAAAACTTCGCGCACGCGCGCAAGCACAAGCACATGTATAGCTTATATGAAGAATACCGGTGCACCGAGCTCATACGCAGTCACGTCTTTTACGCGCCTGAGTGACAAAACAATACAGATTCTCCTTTATTACGCATGCTCGCTGAACAACTCGAACTTGTCCACTACAGAGCAACAAACAAGTGCGTCCTTTAGTCGCGTACATTCCTTTCCAGGGAACTGTGATTTACCCTTATGACGAGGAAAACAGAAAACAAACCCAATCGATTGAGTCTGATTTCGGAATATTTTTCTGGTGAAATTCCCGGTCAAAGGTTCGATTCGAGTAGGCCTAATCGACGTGACATTTCGATAAAATGAGGTTACGGTAAACGTGCAACAATGCGGACGGGTCTAGTTTATGTCGACCAACCATATAAATGTCATCAACAGATTTGAAGTACGAAAATCGAAAGGTCAGTTTCTTGGTGATAAATCAATAATAGAAACAGTGTCGGAGCTGAGGCCCCTCATTCCTTCCAGACACAATTTCTTCTATGTCAATTGCTAAGCTCCCAACCGCCTTGAACAGTCCTCATTACGATGTGAGAATAATATTCAACCTATCTAATCTTCATCTGGACCAGTGAAGTCCACACGACATGCATATTCTCTGGCTGGAGTTGTGGGGAAATGTTCTGCTTCAGTTAACCAATTAGGAACTATCGATCAAACATCAAACAGATGAAAGTCGACAATCTTAAAAATTATTTTCACCATGAACGATTACAGTGGAGATAAAACGTCGTGGGGTGAGTTAAATGTCACCACATTCTCACACCGACCCAATCCCTCCGTGACTTTGTAAAATCAAACGATTACTTTGACCTTTTCTGTTTCCGTAAGATTATTGCTTGGTTGTATATCGGTTAGTATTTTGCAGTCGAACCCAGTCAGAGGAGAGGCGCATGGACGAGTGTCACAGGATGTGATATGATACAATCCATTCGATTGTAAAGTGGACTTTACAATCACTCGGTCCAAGGACCCGATTAGCTTCAGTAGCACGGTCATCATATCCATACCCTTTTTAGGCTATGACCTCAGGGCAACTAAAAGTGGACAGAATCATGCGTAGAGATGATATTAGATCAAACAACAAGTTAATGTTTAGCTTTTCTACATAGTGTACAACATATTACAGGAATCCTGAATCAAATCAAGTTATGTGGGGTTGCCAATGTAGGGAGATTATCGGGAATTCATTGTTCAGTTTGCAGTCCGAGAGTGATTAGAAAACCACGGACTTCCATGAATAACACTGGAAATCCATGTGTTTTATGTAACTCCAGTGATTCCGGTGTTTGTGAAACATTCCGAACAGGGCAACATGATCTCTGACCGACACGTCAGAATAGTGCAGTAAGGTCGGTGTGAATACATAAGCGATATGGCTGCGTGCCGAAAAAAGGGGCGCTAATGCATCTACGCACTATTCTTGCAACATCAGTCTATGCGAATGCTTTATCTTCCGCTTGATTCTGCTCTCCGCATTCCAATCGTCATTCTGCCCTTTCATCCAACTGGGCAGCCAAAAGACAGCAAACAAAACCGGCGCATGAAAGTGCACGGTTAATGGTTGTAAAAACTGAAACTGAATACATAAGCGATTAGTCGGGAAAGGGGCTTGACGTGTATACTGGGAAAGTGATTGCTTAGTCAGATAATGTACTGTAAAAACAAAATCGGTTCGAAATGGATATTGTTTGGTGGGCCCCTATGCTCGAACCCCGTAGATGATCACCACCAACACATGGTGCAAAACTAGTCACAAAACAAATACAGTTGACTGCATCGATGGTGACTATCTGCAACAAATATTCCATAAGATGCGATCAATGCGTAACCTAAAACTAATAATTCACCCGACCAATAAGCCTGAATGGTTGCCTAGTGAAGCAGGTCATTATGTTATCGCCATAAACGTGCACCGGTCATTTGTGTGAATCCCATCGTCCACATAGGTGATGGAACCCTTTTGTTGTTTGCCGGGCAACCATACCTTGCACTATAGGGTTTTATTTGCCCTCATTTCAATTTTCACGGCTTATGCTATCGAATACCATAAACAAATGATGATGATCACTGCATCAACCCTTCTATTATACATAAGTTTCTCCGAACCTCATTCGATCCATGATCGACCGGACCACCAGTGTTACCGCTACTTTCCTCCGAAGTTTGGTCGATTTTATTTTCATTTCCACTATCCTTTTGAAGAAGTCTAAAAAGATAGTGTTTAACAGCACAAATGTGTTGTCCATCTCGGGAAAGGTGCGAACACGATTAACTGAACAGATAGCACATCACTATTGCAGACTTGAGAGAGCGAGAGAGCGAAAGAAAAAACGGAGAAACCCAACAGGGATTGGTAGGCATGGACAGTATGCAGCCTGAGATGATTTGGTGTACAGGATAACAAGCTTGTACAGTATGAAAAAGTAGAGCAAGCAATCACGCAGTATTTTTTTATTACACATCTTAATGCGATGAGCAGAAAACGGGATAAACCCCATGGTTATTAGGACCTGCTGTTCAGTGATGGAAATCGGTTACCTGGGACTGGGAATGGCGAACTACATAAGGCCCCCGATAGGTTAGGCGTGGTATTGAACCGGACGACAGCAGAGCTGCCTGCACCGTGATTCAATGTGCGAATACGCCAATGGATGAGACAGTGAGAATCAACCAGTAGCGCGTAGCGAAGAATAAGTATCAACCATCACACTATTTGTCGTAATGTGAATAACTTTCGGTCGCAAGGGGATATATACATAATTGTTATGAAGCCGAAATCTGAATAGACTTTCAAGTTTCAAGATGACCGACAGATTTACCACTTTGGTGCACCTTTTAGTAGTAAGGGCATTAAGTATCGTGGAGGTTCTTTTGAGAAACGGTAACATTGGCCAGCATTTTTCAAACTAATTTTGAAATACCTAATTTCCGATAAGGTATTTTTCGTCACTTTTTTCAATTTTTCTGATCTTATGGATTTATTCTTGTCTTCCAATCGAAAGTCGATATGTCGGTCTATTTGATTTGTTTCATGATTTACATGGAAAAATCCAAACCTATGCACACACACACACAACTTTATTTTGACAAGCGTACTTACCTGCTGTCATAGATCTCAGTACCTTTATCGAATTTGAATGTGGGTGGAAAATTGATTTCTCCCTCGCAAAAATCTTGGAATATAAGTTTCTGATTTTTCATCATATTCAACTAAAATGCGAATGAGAAGCGAGAAAATGTGGAATATAAAGCGGGGCAGACTAACCTGATATACAACAAAGAAGGCATTGAAATATTGGCGATAATTTTAAAAAACGCGGGTTGTATTGAGTACTGATAATTGGAATTCCATTCAACCCAATCGGCGATTATTGTGCAGTATCTTTTCTCATTTGGTAGACCAGGATTATCCGGTAGATGCAAGCAGTCTCCAAGATATAATATAAGACCTCATCACGACTTACTGCCTCACTGTCACTCAGCCATCACCTACTGAAGAGTAAGTCTGCTCGATGGATATTATCCATTGTGTTTCGTGAGAATGGGTTGTGGAGCAGTGTGTTCCCAGGTCATATTGTACTCCTGGGTCGCCCAGTTCTGAGTAGAAGGTAGGCCAGTGGGAGGCTTTACGGTCATTTTGTTTGAGGTGGCATCAATGGTCTTTATACATCCAAGCATAGCTAGCCAGGCAGCAGGCTTCTTCCAGACGAACCGATAGCCTTTAGTGCAGTTTAGTTGCCTCTTCCAAAAAATTGTCGGGTAGACGAAGCACAATAGGAGAGACGACCTTAATGAGTGGCAGGCGGTTATTGACATGTCACAATAAGGTTTACAGACCAATGGGGTGTTTTAAAGCGGAGAGCGCGAACAAAGCAAAACCCAAACCGCGGCCCCAAGCACTGCCTTCACAACGATTAAGAGGTATGAGTGTTTATATGATGAATTCTTCGTGTAAATAAAGCGTGAGCTGAACAGCTGGGGTGTATTATATACCTGTTTTGACCTGGTTGGGTCTAATCAGTAGTGCGAATACATCAACCTAACCAGGGATCGAACTCGGGACGTGACAGACAGAACGCAAGCATACTAACAACTCGATCGAAGAGCAGGCAATCAGACCATTTTTCATTCTGAATTTGGACGAGATAGAACAACCCATGAACCACACCGAGACACTTGATACCCAATTCTTAAGCACAGCAATGGCTGAAAATGCCCTCCAGAAAACATTAGCCAGGAGCCAATCCAAACACTGAAATCTGTGAAGAAACGTGACTTAATTAACACTTCGATTCTTTAACTTCCAAGATACGGGAAACACCATCGAGTTGATGGTTTTGACGACCAGGATGCCCTGAGATCAAATTGTATACCTTTTATGGGATTTGACATCGGGGATTTTCAGGTCAAGTCAAGACAACTACCTAATGGTGAATGATATTCCCAATGATACACCCCAAACCTGGATACCTCTATCGCCAATCGGTTTAGAGAATGTTGAACTGTCTGTGTATTGTCACTCTGCAAGGCGATGTCACTGACATATTCCAAGTCGAGAACTATGCTCCCTGGGAGGATTCCTACTTCATCATTTTCTAGACCAGACAAGGAACACTGTATAACATCCCTAACTGCAAAGTTGAAGAGGCATGGCAATATAGAGCAAACTTGTCGCACTCCACTGGAGACGGTGAGGGGTGGCGAAAGCTGGACATAGGCCCTAACCCGACCTGTGGTATGACGATACAGCTCTATGAAGATCGACATATACCTCTCAGGGACTCAAAACCTTAACAAACAGTCTCAATGCGGTCCTATCGACAGAGTCGAAGGCCGCACAGAGGTCTAAAAACACTATAGACCTTGGCGGTGGTGGTCCGGTGGTAACGTAATCAAATTATCACCCCGGGGGACGAGTGTTCGGATCCCATCAGCACCGCCTGACTTTCCCATTTGTGTTTTATGGCAGCCCTTTGATTGGCCGTTTCCCCTTCCTGAAAACTGTATCATGGTGTATTCAATAAAAGGAAGTAAAATGAAACAGAAAGAAAGGCATGGCGGTGCTCTAGCAGTTGTCCAAGGGTGAAGATTTTCTCGATGCATCCACTACGAGGCATGAACTTGTGAAAGCCTAAATCAAAGGACTTGGATGTACAGACCATGGTAAGCTTCCTGGTAGGAGCCCTCGTGGCCAACCTAATTCAGGGTGAGAAACACAGTGATATGACGTTGTCGGGAAGAGCGACGGGCTTGAATCTACTCAATTTCTTCGCAAGTGTGATTTAATTAAATTATTCGCTTTGGTATCATTCTCAGCCTTCTACTTTTTCCGCTTTATTCTTCATCACTGCCTAATCAAATGAGCAGTCAAAAATAAACAGCCGAAATCACGGCACGAAAAAGCAAAGTTTACGTTTGTAGAAACTGAAAATGAATCTAAGACAGAAAATAGAAACGGGAATCAGCGTACCGTTGGTGCATGGTCGCTAGCTTTCATGAGAGTTGAGCCATAGAAATTAATCTAAGCAAGCTAACGTCTTATTTTGGATGCCCTGTGCTACCTGCGCAAAGCTGTGCATCTACTAAGCGTTACTTTGAGTTTCTTAAACTAGTTCCACTTACATACAAGGAGAGAAATTCCTAGGCTGTCTATATCATCCATTTATTTTTTTCTGACCTCAATCCCTTGAGGTGCTCAGCTTTCTTACGACTCAAACAGCTCTTCATCTCCGACAGAAGTCTATCAGGGCTTTCGTACATCACAATAACGAATTCGGGGAGAATACACAAATACACAAACTTCGACTTTGACTTAACAAATATTATCAAAATCAAAATACATACCTGATCATGTTTCAGCAGTTCCGAAAAACGCTTTTCTATAATCAGTTTTTCCGCCTCCGTTTTCGTGATATTCTCCAAACGGAAATTCAGATCACCCATCCAAAACACATAGCTATTACACGTAAAGCAAAGAAAATTTAATCGGGGGAATATACCACACATTTAAGTGCACAATACATACTCGTGATCCAGAATCACATTCACATCCTCATCACGGAAACTCTGATGATTGATAATGTCCAAGTAATCCTGTTTCGAAAGAGTAAGAGCAAAGTGAGATGTTGAAGTGAAACGCGGGGGGACTTACATTCAAACGATCACGTTGATTTTCTTTATGAGCTGTGAAGTGACAGGACAGTATGATCAGATTCACCCCACAGATCTCAAAACGCACGCTTACACCGCCCTTGTTTCCCTAGGAAAGATGCATGAGAAAGGAGTGGAGACAGATGATGAAAGGAAGTAGATTGGAATACGCGTGGGTGAAAAGATAGGTGCAAGAACAGGAAGCAACAACTTGAAAACGTACCATCACTCCAGCATAACCGGATGGGGTCGATTCCGACTCAATATTGGTGATTGCCGGCAATAGATTGCGTCGCACAAACACATACATCCAAATGGCCCAACAGTTGCGGGATTTGATCTATGGTATCAGCTGGATGAACCTAACATACTAAAACCAACCAGAACGTAACCATGCGGGTGAACGTGGGAAATGATCGCTTTTCGCCAAGCATCATCGTTAACCACTTCTTGGAGTCTGGAAGAAAGGTGGATTTCGTTATTTTGTTATCGCAGTTTAACGTACGCAATTCCGATCACATCTGGCTGCTTTTCCGCAGTGAGGCCGAGAAGCTTACGAAAGTCTTCTTGTGGGGGAGCCTCGTCGCCGACATTCCAAGTAATACAGCGAATACTAAAGAAAGTGTCATCAAGGAAAAGACGCGTACTTAAGAAATGGCATCCGTATTCGAAGACTGTACTATATCCCAGGAAGCGCTGAAATTCTTGGGCTATAATGTAAAAAAAGCACATCACTAAACTGACGCGATTTGGTAGTACTCAAAAAAGGTGTATGCCGATAAAAATAGGCATATACATAAAGCCGGATCTTACCTGGATTTCCCAGAATGAAAAAAATCAATGCGACCATCAGGCTATCGTAAGCGACAGTCATCTAACGAACCAGAGGTAGAGTGGCATGCTGAATTTTGCGTGCCGTGTCCCCAGGTTGCGGATAGGGGAACGGCCAATGGGTTTTCGGATAATCGTGAAGATGGTGGGATTAGGACTATTAAATCAGAAGTCGCGGACAAGCAGCGGCAGCGAACAGAGGTGTGGCAGATTTTCGCTCTAAAACCGCCAAAAATTTCTGACAACTCTACTGTGACATAGTGAGTACTACCGCCACTGATAACACTATCACCTTTTATTTCATCTATGCAGCAAGGATTTCCAAAGAAGGTATGAGCAAAATGGCATATGAAGCTGAAGATTCGCCTATTCATAATCAACAGCGGCATATTGCACGCTAGGCGGAGCACTTTCAGGCACGGTTCAGTTGACCAACAGTGCAAGCTTCTTCCACAACCATTCCGCCGCACGCCCTATAGTCTGTCTCGATAGACCCAGTTGAGGTGGAAATCTGCATGGAGACCTAAGCCTTAGGAATTCACAAAGCGCCGGACTCCGAGGGCCTTCCTTTGTAGTTTCAGTTTCAGTTTTTACAACCATTAACCATGCACTTTCGTGCGCCGGTTTTGGTTGCGGTCTTTTGGTTGCCCATTC